CAAAGGCCTCAAAAACTAACCAAGGTGAAGAACTCATCAAGAACAAGAATATATCAACGTGTCATCTGAAGGTTCAAGTGGTGTATCTACATCCGACCAGCCCGAAGCACAAATACAGCTACCTACTGAAGAAACAGTGTCTCCAAAACCTAAAGGCAGTTCCTGATGTTTGTCGGTCAAAGTGTTCCCATTTATTGAAGTTACAAAAGATGGCTACTGGTGCACCTCTTGCAAAAAAGCTTACGAAGAAGGAAAGCTTCCCAATGCTCTAACTGGTAAAAATGGAGGAGGTTGGTTTGTCAAACCGATCAGCACAGCCAATGCTGACAAACTACGTGAAAAGGCTGCAAAACACCCGGCCTCTGGAGAGCATCAACATGCAGAAAGCCTTATAAGCCCACTTTCAAAGCCAATTCTAGAAGTACTTAATGAGGCTGTTAAGAATGCTGGAGACACAACACAGTTCATGCGAACAAACATGGCTGTGGCATCCTACTTTCTATTTAAGCAAGAGACACCACACACTCCAAACTGGAGGCCAATGTTAAGTGCATGGTCACTGGTTCTGAACAAGACCAGCAAATGCTCACTCTCTTTCTGCAAGAAACTCAACTGACTGGCTAGAAGCATGCGGTGCAACAGTGAAAGACTCAACAGTTGAAAAAGTGACCAACTCTCTCACCATATTCAAAATATTTGCATACATGGCTGCTGAATGCACCGATGCAAATGGGCATCAAGTATTAAGTCATTGTGTCAGGGGTAGGCCAGTAGATGCATTTCTAGATGTTCAAGTTATAGAAGACACATCGGCTGCATCTGTGACAACCCACATCTTAGAAGAGTTAAATGCTTGTCAATTGGACCCCAAACAGATGGCTGCTTGTGCATTTGATGGAGCTGCAAACTTCTCTGGAAGACATGGTGGAGTACAAGCTTTGCTCAGAGAAAAGTGTAACCCTAATCTCTCCTATACACACTGCAGAGGCCATCTACTCCAACTAGCGCTACTACGAGCTGCAAAATCTTCAAAAGATATTAAAAAAGCTATAAATGTAATGTCTTCATTATATTATTTTTTCATCAAGAGTCCAAAAAGACTGACTATCTTGGAAAATATAGCAGATATAATGGGACTGAAGTTCAAATTAGTCCAACCTGGGAAAACCCGCTGGCTTTTCATGAGCGATCCTTGGCTGTTGTCTTAAAATTACTCCAGCCATTATTACTGGCTTGGGAAAGTATCTCCCAAGATGGGATGGATCTAAGGAGTGAGGCTGGTGGATTACTTTTGCTACTATGTTCAGAGAAGACTATTCCCATTCTCTCTCTCGTAGGTCTACTGTTGAAACCACTTGGGTCATTACACAAGGCCATCCAGGCACCTGCTACAACAGTAGAGATCTTTGTCCAGCAATAGAAGCTACATTTGGATCAATCCGAGAGCGATCCATTGTAAAAGTACTGGAAGAAGCAAAGACTTCAGTCCAGAAGTTGACTAATGAAGGCATTTATATTGAATGCTTAAGTGAAGAGGACAAGAAGTGTTTGTTAAGACAACTGAAAAAGTACACAGACTTGATTCTTACAAATCTACAACAGCGACTTCTAGATTCTACTCACCTCTACGTAGCTTTTACAGATGCCTGTCCTATAAAACACCAACAGTTGAGTGGAGAGCGGCACTTCCAGCAATGGGGCTGCCGTGTGCTCAGGACAGAATAGAGAATTTGAACACAGAGTGGAATATCAAACGATGAATGAATGAAGATTTGACTTCAACTTCTTTTTTATCATCACTAGTGGCTCGACCCGATCTTTGTGTTCTGTTTCCTGGGATGAAAGAAGTAGGAATTCATCTCTTGCTCCTCCCAGTCACAATAGCTACAGGTGAGCGTTCTTTTTCATCACTGAATAGAATTGTGTGTTCTGAAAGATGTCGCCTTCTGCCTGATCTTGTGATTGAACTAATGAGCACATCAACTGAAGGAATGGAAGTACCGGATACACGAGAAGCCACCAAACATGAACGCACTGCATTCGAGAAGTTCATTAACAGAGTTGTACAAAATTATAACAAGAAACCAAGAAGGATGTAGACGTAGTGCTTCATAGAAT